TAATTATTTAATGAAATAGATTAATTTTAAAATAATTTAAAAGTTAAATGGTTTAATTGAGAATTTTAAATGTAAAATTGTTAAGAAAGAAAAAAAAACCTACAAAACTGAGTGAGTAAAGTTTGTAGTGCTACATCTTGGGTAAGGAGTACGTATTAAGTACACATGACATCCAGGTAACGGAATAGTTGACTGTCTGATACATATAAGTTGTGGGACTCCGAGTAAGAAGAAAATATTTCTAATACCATCGTCTTAATATTGTAAATAGATCAATTACCCATAGTTTAATTATTTATTTCAAACAAAAAGAAAACATAAATTATTCTTATATTAATTATGATTATGATATATTTTTTTGAAAGAATGTACTTTGTACTATAATGATTTACAAAGTATACACCTCAATGACCTCATTAAAAAATCTCCCTAATCCTAAATGAAAGAAAAAGAGTGTACCTTGAGGTGATAAGGATCTACAAACACAAAAAACTTACAACACATAATCCATACCCCAGCCCTACAACAATCCCCCGGCAGTTCATAAATAAGCCAAACCAAACAAACACAAACAACATAACCAATAGAACGAACCAACACCTCTAACTTAACATCAACAACAACCATATCTTGATCGAAGACAAACACTAATACCTAGAGATACTCACTTACTGAAATAGTAAAATAGTTTACTATAGGGATTCCATGAAGTAAAATAGTAAGTTAAATTATGATTATGATATTTTGATAATCAATTTTCATTTCCAGTAGCACTCTGTTTTGGCCTTGAGTGGTTATCACAATTTTTTGTGTGTCTAGGCAGCGGTGATAACTTCCTTGTCAATTTCATCCTTCTTTTTCCCCCTTTCCGGTTGATTGCCCTTTAATTTTATTAGTTTCCAATTGTATTTTAATATATTTACAATAATATTTTTTCTTAGTCCTTTCATTACTATTTTTAAGGGCGTTCAAAATTCAGTAAAATCGAATTAATCTATTGAACTGATATTTCGATCGTTTAATTTTGATTTTGATCGGTTAACGGTTAATAATTTTTTTCAAACTTCGGTTTCGATTAATTCGATTCGAAATCGGTTAATTAATCAAGTTAACTAAAATTATTAAATATTTGATATATTATATATATTATTTAGCTTTAGAGGAGTTTAAACTTCAGTTTTAACCGGCAGAATTAACCCAATAAGTCAAAAATATTAAATATTAAATATATAATATATATTATTTATAAAATTCGGTTAATTCAACTAACAGATCAAATAATCAAACTTAGTTCGGTTCGATTAATTTTTTTTGAAAAAAAATCGGTTCGATTAACGATTAAAGGAAAAAATCGGTTAATAAAATTTGAATAATTTGATTTGGTCGGTTAACCGAATTACCCTTTTGAATACTCTTATCTAGCTTAGACTTCGATATAGGTTTCTTCTATTTTTATAATTTTTTATTCTATATTTAGTGTTCGGAATATGTCATTGTCTTAATTATTCACGTTTTTATTTATTAAATTATTATTGATTGTTCACAGCTATATTCTATTTGATAATCATAAATGTATTTATTTTAATATGTATTTAACAATACGTTATTAGTGATGATTTCTTTATCTAATAAACATATCATAATTCTACAAAAAATAGCTTTAGACAACATGGTATTTCTGTCTTGTTTATAAGGAGTCTTTTCTATTATAAAATTACACGCTCGATTTGACTAAAATATATATATTTTGAAATAATTCTACATTTGGGTATTAATATTTTTACAATTAATTTATAAAAATTATTTTGAATTCATTATATATTTTGATCGGTTCTAAAATTTTAGAATATAAGATAATTTCACTATTAACTCCTTTTTAAATGATCTAAAATTTCATAACATTTAATTAAAAAATAAAATTTCTTAAGACGTTAAAGAATTTTGTTAAAAGTAGCTTCATTCATGAATCGAAACTTATATGAATTTTTTTTAAAATTATCCTCCCGATTTTAAGGCGTCGCTTTGATTATTCATGATCGACCTATGTCATATACTTAGTTTTGATAGGTAAGCCTCTCAATGAATGTTTTCTACATTCAGAATGACTCGAACTCAAAATCTACATAAACGATATTAATCCGCTTACCACTTGAATTAACTCATTGATAAATTATATGAATTTTTACATATATAAAAAAATATTTATATGAAACATGTATTGCATTTGATGGTTATACTAAAATATAATTAGTTTCCTCAAATACTAGTATATCGTTTAAAACTTTAATCAAATAAAATATTGAAGTGAAATTTAAAATTCTTTTGAATCAATCTTTGTCAAGTCGATGGAGGAACCGTTACCAGATACACACATTAACACTTATAGACGAGATCTCGATGGATGTTGCAATCAGTGCAAGTCTTCTTCATTGTAAATATTGCATCATTTCTCATCGCATGCCTGTTGGAAATACTTTGTATCCTTGTTTGTTGGAAGCGTAGATGGGCTCTCGATAATTTATAACACTAGATTCTTCTTAATTTCTCTATTATTGCCACCTTATTGTTTGTCTTGTTTTGCTTCAAATTAAAAAATCTTGCCGACATATACTAGTGTGTTGAAACTTCTACATAATTCCAAAATGGGTTTGTCTTCTAACATTGCTTGCTTCTTCAACCTATTGATTTGTTGATTTCCGATTTAGTTTAAGTCTATCATACTTAATATGATATTTATTGAGTGATTTTAATAGTAAAAGAAAATAGTTTTTTTAAAAAAATATTGAGTTAAAACAATTATGTTTATAAGGTGTACATATGTTGTCAATATATTAAAAAATAATAAATATCATCTCTAGTAATCATTTGAACTGTTAAAAAATTAATATTTATATTTTTTTTATTTCTATAAATTTGAGCTGTTGAATTGCTTAAATCCAAATTATGTAATGAGGTATCGGAATACTCATAATTGCAAACCATGGCAACTTGTAAACCATTGACTGACTTTATGGAGGCGGGAGGGAGCCTTTTTAACAAGCAAAATTAGGTCCCATAAATTGAAAGAAAATTCTTATTTTTTAAAAACAAGTAATATAAAGAAATTGAGGCGTGGGTTATTATAAGTTGTTCTTTCTGTATGGTACTACACTATAATAGATTCATTATCTCAGTGAAAAAATGTAAAAAAAAAAAACATTATTGAAATAAATAAATGGACGAAATTGTTTGAAAAAATAAAATGTTTTCTAATTTTATTTTCGAATACATTACAATAGAATTTTAACCATAAGAATTTATTTTATTTTATTTTATGAGTGAAAGTGGCCGGAAATAATAAAAAGAAGGACACGTAGCAGTGATGTCATGGCTTAGCAAAACTATCTCAAATTGCTTTCAATCCTTTATGCTTCCATACAGAAAAATATGCAAAAAATGTAAATGATCAAGCGATGTTTTCTCTCTGTAATCAGTGCATGTCCATGTCACCGACCATGCATATCTTTCATATATAAAATAAGATAAAAAATCTTAAAATTAAAGAGAATAGGATAAGAAGAACATAAGTAAATTATATTATATGAGGAATTTATTAATTAATTTCGGTTATTAAAATACATATTTTTTTATTCTTCAGTTTAAGTAATTATATTTATAGAATGAATTATTAATGATTAAGAAATATTATATTATTTTATAATTATATCATATTATTTAAAAAAAAAGTAAATTATATGGTATCTAATATTATATGTAAGTATGTATACATTCAATATTATATTTTTCATAAAATATTAAATATAATAGTAAGATAGATTATACTTAAAAATAAATATTTTTAGAGTTAATATTATTGAGAAAAACTATTATAATCTAGAGCACAGACATTATAAGAAAAAACATGAAAAATACTGAAATTTCTCATTTAATTTAAGTTTAAAGGAATTGTACCTTTTGTGATTTTTAAGGTAAAATTAACATTGATACAACTTGACATATATATATTGAATTAAATATGACATTTATATTGAATTAAATAAACTTAGAAAGTAGAACGTTGATATTATATAACATATGATTTTTATTTTTATTAGATAAAAAATTAATTAAAAAATTTATTCGAAATATGACATTTATATTGAATTAAATAAACTTAGAAAGTAGAACGTTGATATTATATAACATATGATTTTAATTTTTATTAGATAAAAAATTAATTAAAAAATTTATTCGAAATATGGCATTTATATTGAATTAAATAAACTTAGAAAGTAGAACGTTGATGTTATATACGTATCGTACTCATGCATGTTCTTTAAGCTCCAAGATTAATGTAATTCTCAATCTCCAACAAATCATTAGCATTAACAGCAAAAATAACACTCCAAAAAGAAGCTTTTGAACACCAATAATGGAGATACCAACAGAAAATACTTTAATGGAGATTAGGGGTGTAAACGAGCCGAGTCGAGCTCGAGTATCATTGAGCTCGACTCGACTCTAAAACTCTGAAATGCAATTTGACTCGACTCGAAAACTTGCGAGCTTAAAACTTTTAAACTCGACTCGACTCGAAAACTTGCGAGTTTAAAATTTTTAAACTCGACTCGAACTTAAAATCCTAAATTGAAGGTCGTGAGCAGCTCGAAAATGCTCGAAATAAAACAAATCTTAAACTTAATTAGATTGAAGCTTCAAACTCGAACCTGAACCTTAAATACATAAAAGCCTTACTATATTTTATAAAAAAAATCAACACATAAATGTTAATATTATTAATAATATATATTTTTTAAAAAATAAAATCTTTATATATTATATTTTCGAGCTGCTCACTAGTTTTTCGAGTTGAGTATTAAGTAGTTCGTTTCGGCTCGTTAAGAATTCGAGTCGAGCTCAAACTCGAGTCCGAGTCGAGCTCGAGCTCGAGTCTGAGTCGAGTTCATTCGATCCGAATATTTATCGAGCTTTGACTGAATCGATCTCGAGTGACTTACGATATGTCTCGTCTTATTTACAGCCTTAATAGATATCGAGGAAAGAATAACTTTCCACACCAGACAGTACGAGGACAGACCTACGCACTAAGCAACACGAAAGTGGCTCAAAAAGGTTCCACTTCAATCACTCGAGGCTAATCGCGCGATCGAAATACACAGTAAAACACACTAAACCAAAGTTGAAAAAGAAAGCATGCACCTTTTCTTTCTTCTCATTGTCTATGAATCCAACGTTTTCGATCATCTTCTTGGGATCAAATCTAATGGTCCAAGTTAAACAAAAAACAGTTCTTTTGATTCCTTTGGATGACTTTGTGATGCAGGGAAATTCGAGACAGATGATGTTAAACTATCAGATTGTACCTTGATGGCGTTGAGATATCATGAGTTGGCATATCAGCGCAAAGGTGAGAGTTGATTGTGATATGTTATTTATTGGGGCTATTTTGAGTGCGTTTTAATCTTTTGGCCATAACTTTGGATACGGGTGTCGGAATCGCGCATAAGATCCCCCTTTCGATGCGCACGCTGTTCACATTGAGCATGACTCCATGTGACCTTCTTTTCGACCTCAAATTCTGCCGTTTTTCTCATCCGAATCACTAATTTTATTTATTTTTTATTATTTGTGGTAATATTTCGCTTGTCAGTTAGGAAGTCATTTTAAATCTGATTTGGGCCGGATTTTTTGCAGATTGCTTAATTTATTTAGAATTTCAATTTAGAGTGATTTCCGAGACTTTGCTATTTTTAACAAATTTCGAATAAAGATGATTTTTGGCTATAACAGTCCGACTTGTAGACTGATTTTGGCATTATTTGATTTTATATTATTCTATTAAATCTTAGAGAATTTTTCTCTGATTTTTGGGTGAATTTTCTCCTGTGAATCATCTATTAAAACTAACCTGCAGGATAATCGCTATTCTGTCCGGCGTCACTTTATTAGCAAATTGTTGTGGAAAAAGAGTAGAGTACAAAGGAAGCTCCTATGCAGATTGGCTTCGGGATTGTAAATCAGGCAAGGTATTCAATTTTCCTTGAATTAGGTTCTTCTCATTTTCTTTGTTCTCTCTAAAGATTTTCTGGGTTTGTTTTTCTGTTTATTCATCTGGGTTTTCGATATTTTGATCTGCAAAAGAATGGGATTTTCAGGCAAGACGATCAATTGGCTCCGTGATGCATTATAAAATTGCAATTCGTGAGGCTTCAAACAAACAAAAAACAAGAGACTGTAAAGGGAAGTTAAGGCAAATTGAAAGGACAATAATCAAGCCGAAAAATGGAGCAAGAAATCACCAGGTAAAGGAATCTGTTTTCTTGATAAAGTTTCTCTATTCTTCTTTACTTTTTTTTTCTACCTTCTTGTTGTGCACAATAAGGAGTAGTAAAGAACAAATGTTTTGCAGAAGGAATTTGAGGATTTGATTGTTGAGAATAGTCAAGATACTCATTCAGACTTTGATATCAAGGTAATCAATCTTACCATTATGAGTTAAGTTCAAGAATTTGTTGTGGTTTGTTTTCACTGGATTCGAATTTGAGTCCGTATCTCGAATGAATGTATACAAATGACACTGAAAAATCCCCGTATATTTTGCAGGATGAACCTGGAGTGGACTCTGGTTTAGAAGGAGATAATGAAGAGGTTATTGCTTCTATGCTTTGAAAAATCAGCAAAATTATCATTTCTTTTGAAAGCATCTATAAGTTTTACTCGAATAATCTTCGAGTTCATATTTGATACATTTATAATAATATTTTTAGTGTTAAGAACCTTGAGATAAATATATTCAACGTACTTTTTCAGCTGGATGGTATGGGACTGGATGACTTGCTGGATGATCTGCTTCCAAATGAAGTGACAATTCCAACGAAGTCTCTGAATGTCCAGCAAAACTTAAACACCATGGCTGAATTTCTTATGAAAAATGATGAAGATGTTGCAAGCAATGTCGATTTCCCGGACTTTACGATCTGCTTCAATGGGGAGCAAAAATGTAACCCCTAGACCCAGCTTATGCATTTCGACTAAGTCTAACAGATTACATTCATGATTCTTAAAGACATTTTTCTAAAACCGTTATTCGATAATTAAAATAGTATTTCAGATGACATGTATAAAAGAATAATAATTTATACTATAAAAACCCAACTCATGAATGTAAAAATAAAAAAGTTAAAAATTTAATTTAAAATATGACGTAAAATTTGGATCACCATAAACCAAATATCAGTAACGAAAGAAATAGTCATCACTAAAACAAATACTTCGAAACAAAGGCCCATGTTACCAAAATAAAGTCAATCTTGAAAGATGAAAATATTACAATCAGATGTACTTCAAGAGATGTGTTGATCCTCCAAGTGCTTGATCCGGAGTGTCTAACCAAGTGCTTGAATTATCATAACATGTGCATTCATTCATTATATGGTTTGCATCACTGATTGATATTCAAGCATATAATATATAGTTATAATAATAACATTCATTCATTAACATATGATGCATGAGTTATTATTATAACCTATAGTTGACATCTTTATATTATATGTTATTTAATTTAAATACTTAGCTTATATTATGCTTTCTTTTGTAGGTACATAGGCGGCCACATGATGGGAGCTAACTTAAAGCTAGCATTGAAGTCCAAGAGCTATGGAAACTTGATTAGGACAACTTCGGGACAGCTCAAGATCATTTTGGGATAAAGTTGCCAGCTGACCCCCGAGCTCATAGCTGACTTGAGCTGGACTTTTGCGCTAGCTGGAGGTCTCATTTCAGCTGGAGAGTTGCACCATCATCTTCACCACACAGAGCACTACAAATATGGTCTAGGTCGAATTTTGTGAAATCGTACCTTTTTGCGAAGAGTTGCCAATCTGAGAAGTGCCCTTTCACAAGGAGCTGTCCTAAGACTCATCGTCATGTATTTCATCTAAGGCCAGCTCATCTTCAGCTCAAACCCATGGGAAGTAGCCCAAATGATGAAAGGATGCTTCACACAAATGTGCCCTTTCATAATTAGTTGCTTCCCCATTGATGACATGTCACTTAGACGCAAGATGGATGCCAAGTCACACCTAGTTGCTGCTCAACTTCACGCCAAGGAGAAACCACACCATAAGCACCCTATGTCGCCCATGTGAGTATCTTATGATCAGCCCACACATGTGCTATGCATGTGGATGAAATGGGTGCCAAAATAAAGAGGGTTCTCTCTTTTCGGCCAAAGCATCACCTTGCTTCAAGTTGGCGCCAAGATGAAGAGACAAGGGAACCATTCGGCCAAAGACATCTCCCCTCATCCAAGCATCATTTATTTTCAATTAAGACATGTATTTTTCCGAATGGACATCTAATTATTCGGCCAAAACTATGCAAGCCTATAAATAGGGCTTTGGCATTCATTTCTAAACAACCCTTTGATAAAATTAAAAACTCTTGTGAGATTATTCTCTCTTCAAGTTCTTTTTAAAACTATATCGATTAAGCAAGCTTTCATAGTTTGTGACGTCAAACCCCTTTCCTTGATACTTCTGGTTCCTAGTTTATATAACTAGTGGGTCAAAGTCCTTGCTACCATCCCTTATAAAACTTATAAGAAACGGGTCTTTGCTCCTTTATAGCATTGGTTCCTTCTTAGTTTTATAAGATACTATCTATTTCCATCACCATTCACTCCCATATCATCAATCCTTCCATTAAATCATCCATTAACAAGGCATACTTCATCACCACCATTGGAGGCCGAAGTTACATCACTTGAAGGAGATTTATTCAACACTTCCACAACCATCTTTGATAACATTCTTTCACTTTCAATCCTTTCCATTTCCATTCCCTTTCTTAATTATCCATTTATTTAACAACTTCTTATTCTTTGTGCAGATTACTTCCAATTCAACGTGTAGCATTTGGCGTCTCTCCTAGATCGGGAAACAACAAGGTTGCCATCTTCTCCATTATTGAAGAAGCCTGGTTAACCTTACATCACTAATGCAGTGGACTTCCATGGCCAACGTGTGAGCACTGGTTTATTCCCCTGACTGATCTTTCAGTACTCCCCATGGCAACACTTTGCTGCATTTCTAGCTAGTTTAGGTGTTGTGTGGTTAACAGATAGGAGTAAGAGGCTAAGGCTTTCATCTGGGAGTCTGATTGGAGGCATCTTGTCGTATCGAAAATGTCGTTTTATGACTAATTTAGTCATAAAACGAAATTAGTCATAAAACGACATTCTTAATTCGATTAGATTTGGATGCCTCGAACAAAACTCTCAAATGGAACCAAAGTAAAACCTATTTTTGAATCCTAACTTAAAAACTAAAAGGGTTTTTAGGTGAAGGGATCAGGGATACGTTTTGCACCTCAGTGAAGTACTTTATAGGATTACTTGTATTTTATGTTTAATATTTGCCAGTTGAACTTGAGCTATATGTAGTAATAATGGTTTTTGAGTTTGCAAAAGATTAAGAATTTTGTTCTGCTATAATTAGTAACGGATCGTAACTCTTTACTTATTATTTTGTGGTTACTATTTTTGACGAAAGTGAACAAAATGAGTTTTAATTTCATAAACGAGATTTAACTTTTTTTTAATAAAAGGGCAACTTTTGTTCAATTTATCATTTTCATCCTTATTTTCACATAAATTTAACTATCGAAGTTGTTCAATTGTATCATTCTATATCTTTGTCCTAACTTAAAACCCTAAACCATAATCACATAACTTCTAAACCCTAAGTCATAAATCATAATTTAGGATTTATAATTTAGGGTTTTAAGTTAAGGGTATGATATAGAATGATGCAATTAAACAATTTTAAGGGCTAAATTGATGTGAAAATACGATAAGGACGAAAACGATAAATTGGGTCTAAAACATGGACAAAGGTAACTCTTAAGCCAACTTTTTTTTATAGTTGTAAATTATTCTAAAGGAAAATTTCAAAATTGTACTATTATGAAAAAGATATATATTTATATATTGAGGTAAAAATATTACTACTTGGAAATTTTGCAATTACTTCTCATATCATTTTTGAAGAGAAGAAAGAAATTAATGTGTTAATTTAGACGACTTAAGAAAGTGATATTCAATTATTAGAATATAAAAGTTTTATTATTATTTTTCACATAAATATTTAATAATAATTGATAGGGTAAAGTATACGAATTATTTCCTTTATGTTTGATTTGATCAATTTTGATCATTGATTTAAAATTTAAATGTGTTTAATTTCTTACGTTATCGATCTGTTTGATTTTTGTCCTTTGATTGTTAATTCCTATTAAGTGGTTAACCAAAGTATGAGTTGATAATTTAATAATAATTGATATTACATTATATTAGATATTTATTTTAATTTTAATGATAGGATAATATGTTTATAATAATATTTTAATTAAATAATTAAATTTTAATTTTAAAGATATTTTATTTATAATCGAATTAATAATCGAATCCATTGAGATGTATTTTTATTAATAATCAAATGTTGTAGTGAGATATTAAAAAGAGAAAATCGTCTCAGTGACTAAAATTCCCATATAATATACGATTTTAACCAACTTTTTTCGGATTTGCCAAAATGACCAACAAAATCGCAATGCGATCGCTAATTCGCAACGCGATCTCCATTATCGCAAATTCGCGTTGCATTTCGCGTTGCGATAGTTGAAAATCGCGTTGCGATGGTCTACAGTGTCGTTGCAATTTTCCCAATTCGTAATGCGAATAAGTAAATCGCAACGCGAATTGGGAAAATCGCAATGCGATACTGACTATCGCAATGCGATACTTACTATCGCAATGCGATAATACAAAATCGCAACGAGATACTGACTTTCGCAACGCGATTCTGACTTTCGCAACGCGATAATACATAATCGCAATGCGATTTTCAAAGCGCCATTAGTATCCTGGCCAAGTATTTTATTTTTCAATTCCAAACACGAATATTAATATATTGGAACACTGAACCGTCCACAGTATATCCTGTAATCGCAACTCATAACCTAAAACCTAAAATCACAACTCAGTCTCATCTCCATCACTCACTCTCTCACCCATCTCCGACGAAATCCGTCCCCATCTCCGGCGAAATCCGTCTATCTCCATCTCTCAGAGCCACCCTCACAATCAGAAATGGAAAATCAACCAAATCAACCAACGAGGGTTAGTTTTTTTAATTATTTTCTTTTTGAAAATTTTGCATTATTATTAGGTTTTTCATATTGAAATTGATGATAAGTTTACTGGTAATTTCAATAATAGATTAACCATTTCACTTAGATTTCTTATTAAATCAACCGAGAATCGCAACGCAAAATGCAAATCGCAACGCGATTTTAGTTTCGCGTTGCGATTCTCTCGTTGCGATAGTCATTTTCGTGTTGCGATTTTCATTTTCAGAAACTATTCTTCTTCTGCAAATTGAAACTTGAATGAATTGCATTACTTCAACCAAAAAACAAAGACAAATACGAAATTCACAGTGTTGCAAATTTAAGTTTGAAGAATAAACTACTACTCTTTATGTTTATTATTGTTTTTGGTATATCTTCACAGTGTAGTTTTTGGTATATCTAACTTAGTATGTTTATTGTTTTTGTAGAACTTTTATTCGGCTCAATTGACCTTAAGAAATAAAGTCAGCCTGGCCAAAACAATTGCGTCGAAGCTTTCACCTGCACAAAGAAAAATGTTTGAGGATACATGCTTCGGGCCATGGCTGAAAGTACAACATCCCGGTGGAGATGCGATGTTGACACACCTGTTTCTTCAAACCATGACTAGCGATCTACCAGAGACTATACAACGTCGTGATGAAGAGATATGGTTTGATTTTCTACCGGCGTATACGTGTTTTGGGCGGGAGGAGTTTTGCTTAATCACCGGTCTACGCTTCGGACACGATGATGTAGGTCGGTACACTAGATACATTACCCGCCCATCATGGCTATCCCGGGTTTTTCTTGAGCTGGAGAGGCCGAATCTACACGTA